CCACAAATTGGAAGACATGCAAGCGAAAAGCAACAAGTTGGCGATAGAATAAGCATCAAAGATAGGGCTTCGCTCCAGGTGAACATAGAGAAAACAGATGTGATGAAGATTCCTGGGCAACACCATCAACAACAGCAACAGACAACAATCAGCATAAATGGGAGGAACCTGAAAGAAACAACCTCCTCCACACCTACCTGGAAAGCATCGTTTCAACTGCAGGCGGATGGAACTGACGAGGATATCAAAGCAAGAATCGGAAAGCAAGACAAGCTTTCACTACTCTCAAGTCTGTGTGGAGACCAACAGCACTCAGCATCAAAACGAAGATAAGATCCGGATTTTCAACTCCAATGTGAAGTCAGTCAGTGCTACTCACTATATGGATCAGAGACGTGCACTGCGCGTCATAAAGAGCATCTCAAACAAACTACAGAACTTCATCAACAGTTGTCTTCACTCAATACTCAAGATCAGATGGCCGGCCAGAAAGGATCAGCGACAGAGATCTTTGGGAGCGAACCAACCAGGAATCGATTGTGAAACAAATAGGCAGAAAGAAGTGGAGATTGATTGGCCATACTCCTAGGAAACCATCAAGTGACATCACTAGACAAGCCCTTGAGTGGAACCCGAAAGGGAAGCGGCGAGTTGGTCGTCAGTGCAAGGGTGACTTGGAGGAGGTCATGTGAAGAGGAGATGAAAACGTGTGGGCAGACATGGAGCCAGGTGAAGACTCTAGCAGAGAACAGAACGCAATGGAGACGCACGGCTGAAGCCCTATGTTCCTGTAGGAATTAAAAGATGCAATAACAATAATGATCTGCAAGTAATCTTGACGCCTCAACAGTATGGATTGCCTTCAAATTTGCGTATAATCCTCTAATACTGGAAAACATATGAGGTGTATTTATACATATAGTGTCTATATAAAGACCAGCTGTGAACTACAAATACTTTTATTTGCAAAAGAATTTTGCTTACTATTAATAGAATCAGTGTGTTCATATTTTATAGTGATGTAAAAAATTATACTTCACAACTTCATGTTGTGCTTCATATTTAAGATATATGGAGGTTGTCGAATATGAAATCAGCGGAAATGTCAATCGGTCAAACTAACTCTTATACCCGTCACCAAAATTTTCTTTTGTAAATTAAGAAAATGTTTAATATACTCTTCATTTATGTTTCTTCTGGGCTTCTTCAGTCCGTCGCTGTACTATGAGCTTTTGTGATAAGTGAATTCACATTAATGCGTGTTAAGCTTACTTAGTGGAACGGAAATTTCACTGTAGTTTTATGAGACTGTTACTTTAGTTATTCATAGTATTTCGCGTCTGTTCCAATGCAATAGCATATTGCAAAAACTAAGTAAGATTTAGAAAGTTGAATATTAATTCTGTACTGTTCGATGCGCTAAAGCCACCTACTCTAGCCAGATGCAAGTCTGCATACTGCTAAGCGCCAAGTATGTAATAATAATAATGTGTTCTCATTTTGTACATGAGGGATGCCAGTTTACAGGATTCATCAATATGATAAATTACATATACGATTAGTAAACATATTTAATAATAGTAATTTAATAAAATACATTTTTTCCTACCTGTGTAGGACACACCAGTTGTACAGGCATCGATAAGTATTATTTAAATTTTCTATAGTTTGGTTTGAAAGGGTTTGTTATGCTTTTACGAGTTGATCACTGATTGATATCAGTTAGAGAACCATTGAAAACCAGGGAGTACTGGACAGCTGCTGCTTCATCCTAGTTTGGGAATCATCGGCAGTACGCACCCACTGGGATTCGAACCCAGGACCTTCCGGTTACAAGGCAAGCTAGCTCGTATACCATTCAGCCACTGAGACCCTATTCAATGGCTCATGAATTCTAACTTCTACCAATTCGTGATTTAGCGCGACCCCAACCATTGTCGTTGGTGGGACACCCATCCACACACGTGACATCTAATTGGACCTCACTGGTCGCGACCTCTCACTAGAACTCCAGGACCTCAAAGTAGCTTATACATTCCAATCTGATGACCTAGGGTACTTCCAGAATGTTCTACAAAAAGAACTAGATAAAGTGACTGCTTGGTCATCTTTATGGAACCTCCAATTTAACCTTAAAAATGTGGCTGGATCTGCTTCGGTGCACCCTCAGTCGACATAAAGTTAACGCTTCAATCGGCTAACCTAATCAAACTCCAAAGTGTCGTTGACCTAGGTCTGAGATACTCGAGTAACCTAACATTCTCTGAGCAAGTGGCATCACGGACTCAAAAGTCGAGGATGCTCTTAGGATGCATACTCAGGAACTTTCACGACAATGAAGCAAAGCTCATTCTGTACAAAACCTGTGTGAGGCCACTACTAGAATACTGTCCATTTATTATTAGCAGCATTCACACACGTGAAAAGCTAAGAAAAGAAAGTATCCAACGATATTTTACCTCAAAACTACTAGGCTACGAATGTAAGAAAGACTACATCTCACGGTGCATGATTCTACAACTCGACCCACTCTAGACAAGACGACTAATTATAAACCTAGTATTCTTCTATAAGGTCCTACACAAAATATCATTCTCAGACATTAAGGACATACAATTCGCACAAGAAGGCTCTTACGATCTGCGTAACCAAAATTGCACAGTGACGATAAGAGCCTTTAAGTCAACACTCCGCGAAAACTTCTTCACAGTCATGTATTCTAAAATATGGAACAATCCGACCCTAGATGTCAGGAACTGCAATACAGTTTTAAGTTTCAAACGCTCTCTGTACACACTATTTCACTCTACTGGTTATATAAATAAACTATTTATTCCTTGAACGAATCAACTATTAGTCTACTACAGTACCTAAACGCGCTTAAATACCCTTACCTCTCTAAAGACTATGAATAAACTAGTAGCATAAATGCATAAGAAGACAGTAGAAACAAATTTTTGTTCATCAAATTACAATGTACAACGAATATAAACAAATATGTCCTACTCCACATACTTTTTCTTTGTCCTCTGGTACATTTCTGTTGTATTTACTTTGTAGTACAAGCTGCATTGATCTACATTCCGACTGAAGCTGAGAAACAATTGAAGTCACTTACTCATATATTATCCCTCACGGTTTGGCTAGTAATGGCTCAGCATCCTTGATGAAATCCACAGTCACCATAACAAGACGCTGTACAGCATCTTATACAAGCACTGTCAACGATCTAAAATGGTTTTTATATAGCTTTCTACGTGTTTATCAACTCACTCGTACGGAACAACCATGCAGTGACTAATGGCGGGCTATGGGTGACTTGAGTGCAGTAAAACAAATCTGCTTGACAATGACCAATATTAATCTGCATTCAGTTGAATTCACATCTGGTATTACTTGCAATAAAAATGATGTCAAAATCATGAAAGTTAATCACTCGTTTTAAATCAATACCCAATTTGAACATAAAACAAGAACAAGATATGATGCCGCACACAACAAAGTTATATGGAGGAATTGACTTCAAGCTTTATTTTTTCCCAAGTATTTGTAGTTTATCCGACACATACTTGGGTTTTTTGTTAATGCGAAGACAATATTTCTATATTTCTTTATGTGCTCCATTGAACGACTAACTATCAGAATGTGCTCACTAACTGATGTCAGAGAGGAGAGCAACCATATAATTTAACTATAAATCAAATTCATGTAATTTAAATAATACTTATCCATGCCTGTACAACTGGTGTGTCCTACATTGATAGGAAAATATATTATATTAAAATGGTGAGAGAAAAAAGAAGACAAACAGTAACAACGCAAGAGAAAGCAAGTGGAGTCCTTAAGGAGTGATTGATATGCACATATAAATTTATATTCAGTTTAGTAACTGTGGTTAATTTGGTGCACTAACTAACTAGTCCCGTTATGCTAACTTTTATATTGTGTGAACTAATATTTTGGTCCTGTGTAGAAATGTCTATCATATACTTCCAATAATATTAAAATTTATAATTGTAGTTTGTTGTAACTACACGTTTAATGAACTTAAAATATCTATGTAGGGTGAAAAAGGGGGTGTTGGAGTCAGACGCAGAAGGAAATTGTCATCTGTGAGCAGTCTGGTGACTAATAAATGTGGTAACTTAGGACTGATACCTATTTCATTAATCAGTTAATATGCAGTGATATCATCAAACAGACTGTTTACTAGGCGGTGAGCTAAGAAACAATTTCGATTTATTTCTAGTATGCTGTTGAATCATGTGATGTTATCTAATATCCATCATTTCTATGATCAAATCTGCATATCTACTTTGTTAAGTATGCGGATGACCTAACTGTTTCAATGCCTGTTAACTCCCGCCTAGACCGTACTAGGATGAACAGCTTTCCATCAGAAGTCAGTTAATGGTCTTAAACTGAATCCTTCCAAATGCCAGACTATTAATTTCAGTTTCCAAATTAAAAGAAAGTTAAATGAAACCGTTAATTCCTATGACCGTATGCAAACCGCATACAATTAATCCCTGCACTACTCCTTTTGGAGTCAACCAAAGCTACGGCAGCCGAGTGGCGGAACGAGCTACACAGAAGTTTACTGAAAATCAGGAACCTATACCTCACAATCAAATGGCGAGCACAAATAAATCAAATTGGTTTATACTAGCTCGTAAAAACAATATTGGATATTGGATACTAGACATTTGAAGGTTAAAGTGGAATTCTTAAATTCTCAAGGTCAAACGTTTTGACAAGCTGTCAAGATCGTGTTTCTGTGGATAGCATAGGAATACAATGAAAGTCATCGCAAAAGAGTTGGATAAAAGCTCCTCAGGATACATTACCCTAATTGCAGAGAATGAAGAAGATATGTGGCTAACTTATAATTTAGTTCAGGTTGGAGACAAAATGAGATGTTCAACAGTCCGCAAAGTTCAGAATGAATCTGCAACTGGTAGTGTCCAAACTAAACAAGTTAGAACAAATCTAACAATTGAAGTGGAGAAAATAGATTTTGATGTCCAGGTAAGTGTTTGTCACTATAGTGACTTGTATTCAAGTCAAAAATGCAGCTTGAGCTCCAGCTGGTTGTTGAATAATTTTGACTATATTTACATTCAGCGAGTTTTGTTGTTATTATATCCCATTTAGTAAGACGACTAGAAATAATGTATAAGACATACCCAAGCTTAAAACAATTCTAAACTTATTCTAACCTATTCTTCGATAATGCCTTTTTATGGTAAATGAAGATTTCATCTACCCACTATGTTCTGAAATAACGCTGATCGTGCTTAAAAAGAGAGCTGGGTGCTGAATTAAGTTTTTTCGTTCCGAAGTAACGCTATCCCATACTTAATATGTCCTTTGAGGGCTGGAACAACGCTGACAGGCAAATCCAGTAGGTTCTGATCTACTCCTGAAAATGCCTAGAAAATGAACAGGGTACTGAATTAGTGCTAGTCATGCTGAAAAACCAGCACTGAGTTGTAGTCTGTGCCATTAAAGAATCCATTTCAGAACAGATTCAGAATTTACTCACTATAGAATGTTAGAGTTATTTCAGAATTAGTGAGATTTAATTCAGCATTATAGTAAGCTTGGGTATAGTCTCATGTGTCTTATGAAATGGTCGAACGTTTAACCGTTCGTCTCAGAAATTATTCTGTCAGTAGTTTTTTTGTCATCTCAATATTCGCCTGCCCCAGATTCGTCCCTAGTAACTCTTATTGTGAATATATAGTTGTTCGAGCGATTCTCTGTTTCATTCGCAGTCACAGAAAAGCGAAATCAGTATATACATATCTGTATAAGTAACATTTATGTTTCTTTTCTTGAATAGAATAGGCAAGGAACTGGATCAAGCAGACACTGGACTTCATTCAGTGTGGCGCTCTATCAATATATCTGGACCAAAATAATTGTTCACCTCACATTTTTACTTTTGGTCAATCCCCTATCTGGCAGACGTTGAGCATCACAGTAACTACTAGGACGGCGTTTGTAACTAGTGTTTAATTGATCGAAGTAGTGTTGCGAATGATGAATGATCGATGAGTTACTTGAACATGTGTCCTAACATCGCTTACAGGCACAAGTAGACTGGGAAGAAATAGTAACAATGAAAATTACAAGGCCACTTCACATTCTTATTTCCAAAAGTTCGAAGTTCGTAGGCTCAAAGTAAAATTCCTAGCATGAAGTATGAAGTACGCCTTTCTTGCCTTCATTGTGTGGTGAGAGCTGTCTACTAGCCAAATTGGTTGACAGTAATTGAGGTCAAAGGTCAAGGTGGACAGGCGGTTACAGTTAACATATAGATGAACTGACACAGCCACAAGAGATGCAAGGTTAACCTTGTGTGATAAACAACCAATCAACAGACTGTATTTTCTACTAACATTGACCTACAATAATGTACATAAAAATCTATAAATACGTGTTGATTTTTCGTAATAAACGATCTGTTGCCTGGCCCTTGTCTTCTGTTGTTACAATTGTACGCTTAGACATCTTATTCATTGCATCATTAACACTACCCAATTAAATACCGGGTTTTTCTTAATGTTTTCAATAACTAGAAAACGTCGTCATAGATGCTCACCGACTGTTGATATGTGGTTTGCGTAGTCTGCATTGCTTTACAGCAAGATAAACTGGTCTTTATACTATAGATGAAATAATCTGTAAGTTTGTGTGGCGTTCATTTAGTCTATGATTGTCATATTACATACGCCATTTTTAAAGGTGAGTACAACGATGGCCTTATTATAGTATGATGTAACACTTTCTGTTTGAATTACTTGCAAAATTTAGTTAGTTTCATAACTAGAATTTCATCTTCACCTATCTAATATCTGAGGATAAACTTGTAACAAAGTAAGAAGTTTTTAATACCATTCAAAATTCCTACAGATCCACGTGTCTCCGGAATCCTTGAGCGAAATCACAGAAATTGTCCAAATGTAGTTGATGTCTGTAAGGTCAGTGAGACGTCGGATTTCCGAGATCTTCCAAACTATCCAACCCATAGATAATGTCCAGGTATATTTTTCGTTTTCGATTGGTTGGAGGATTTCATCATGAGCTGACATCACTTAGAGAACCATTGGAAAACCTAGGAGTACTGAACAGCTGTTTCGTCCCAGTCTGGGACTCTTCGTTTTTATTTTATTGTACTGGCGTAGCTACATATTGCCTGTTTTTTATATGTAACCTCGTTTTAAGTTCTCTGACCTTATGTAATGTCTTCTTGTTCCTGTCTTCAATGCCCACATACAACAAATTCATGTTGAGAGACCTTTTATTGTTCACATTTTACTTCCATATTAGTTTGTTTATTGGATGTATCACACAATGAAACATCTAATAAACAAATTAATATGGAATTACTTACTATCACAGTGCCCGAGTTTTACACATATATTCACATTTTACTATTAATAAATGTTAAATGTTTTTCACCGCACCCACCCCCTCAGGGTTCAATATTACATTTAAATGGACGCAATGTAGTAGAGAATCAATTTGTTAAAATGGGCGCATATCACACCTTGGATTTAGGAGTGGATGAAAAATTTACAATCACTAAAACAGAATGGGATAGTGTTGCTATAATGCTTGTTGAACAAGCATCTGATCCAACACAACAAGCTGATCTTGCTGCAGTTATAATGCATGAAGGTTTAGCATATGTATGTCTTATAACAAGTACAACTACAATTGTTAGAGCAAAGATTGATACAACTATTCCACGTAAACGTCCAGGCTTGCCAACTGCTCAACATGAAAAAGGAATATCACGATTTTTTGAACAAATTATGCAAGCATTAGAACGTCACATCCGCTTCGACAGTAAGTTTTCATGCCTAACATATACTTTTCATTATCTCAGCTATGATTGTCGTGTGTTTCACTTTTTTGCTTTTAACCCATGTCTGTTGTTGTTATATATAATATTTTCGCATGGTCACGTGTAGTTTTAATTAAACTAAATCGTGGAAAATACCCATCGGGACATTAGAGAGAAAAGAACAAGAAGTTCAGCAACACAGATATCTTTTCGGCGATTTCATTATCAAAAGCAGCTGTACAATCTCATTTATATCCATAAGTTTACATAGATACAATTACTATTCTTATTTAATTCCACATAGTAACGAAGGAGATTAAAGGTCATAGTGATTTTCAACTCGATTTCAAGGGGCTTAGAGACAAGATTAGGTAGGATTAGAAAATAGCTTTTTTTTAATGACTAAAGATGTGAATGTGCGTCGGTAGCGCAGAGGTAGAATGCTCGCCAACCACGCATGTGGTCCGGGGTTTGATCCCCGGCCGACGCACTCCTTTACCCCACTAAGTCAGTAATACGACTGGTAAAGAAGGAAGGTTGGGCATGAGGCTAGCAACCCCATCCCGTAAAAATAAACACCGTTGCTACCGAAAATTCAAGCCTCTAGCTTGAAGCTCTATGTTCCACTGGGAGCGAAAGGGAATAAAAAACGGTGTGAATGAGATGAGCATGGGAACAGGTTGAAAGAATAATGTTTTAAAACTGAAAAAAGGTTAAATGAAGGGGATGAATAGACGGGACCAAAGGAGACAAACCGAACTAGATCCATGGTAAATGTAGGGGTTGAAACAGTTTCTTTTGAACACAGCTCCAGTCTTCCGAGGCATATGGCGAGGGCTTCAGCAGTACAAAGAAGTCGGAAACAGGCTGACTATCTTTGGTAGATTTTTCTTTACTTCGTAATTAACTGTGAATGATGCATGAGTCAGTTGAGATGCTGTGACATGTATTGACGAGGTGTTCAATCATGGCTCTCTTGATTAAACCAGTGCCTCCTCTTTGCAAAAGTAAAGGAACGAATCCGAGTATTTGGAACTTATCACCAGACTGGTGGACGTGGAGTCCTACTTAGATGGTTTGGGTAACCTTAGTTATAAACTTATGGCTCCAGAATCCGAATTTTAAGTGACAGGCGCATGAACTTGATTCATTTACCGGCAGCTATAGGATGTTAGTTCTACTGACTCGCGGATTAGGCTCTAATTTGAAGGTTTAGGTAAGAGTGGTCCCTTAAGAAAATCCATTTTGGGCGTCTGGGCAGTATCTCATCCCTTATATACATATCATAAAAAAGAAGCATTCAATGGAAGACTGCACTCACCCATACTTTCTCTCTCTCAAATTACTTCGCCAGTTGTATATCTAGCTATATGATCCATTATCATTATACTTTTATCCTTATATATAAACCATTTTGTCTTTTATCATGGTATCATAGAATTTTGATAAGTATCACATACAATACGTGCCAAGTATGGCATACTTGGCACGTATTGTATGTGATGAAAATAGCGTCAGGCAAGAATTGACTAACCTTTTTTCATCAAGTAAATAAAAAATCTCCATCCATCCTTATATACCTTCAAGTTTTACTTTTATTATTTCTATTATATTTATGGTCCTGTTGCTTCTTTGTTTCCACTTTCATAACTGCAAACACCAACTTGTCTCTATGACTGCTGTAATTTTTGTTTTTCCCCTCACCATATCATGTAAAGAGAACATCATATTCAATATTTTTAATCATGCAATGATTTGTATACCGCATTGTCAATACTGTGTGAAACAAGCCCATGGCAATTTTCACTTGTATTATTATTATTACCTTAGCTGTTATCATTACTATTATTATTTCCATTTTATATGCTGCATGTTTTTTATTTTTTATTTTTTTATATTAACCCTATTGTAAATGTAGAAAAATTTTCTTTGTGATTAATTTTATTTATAATTTGAGGAAATTAGATGCAAGATATTGTGATTAATGCTGAAAATTCCATTCTGTATCACAAGTACTGTTTTTGGAATAAAGTAAATCATTATTATTATTATTTCTGCATTTGTCAACCGGTAAGTTATTACTTGAAATCTTGAATTGCTAGGTAGTTGTCTCTAGCTATTCTGAAGCCATATATTATATTCACATTCACTATCTACAACGTTTACACGTCGATGCAAATCGGACAACAGACAGGTTTGGCCAGAAACCTGAAAAGTCTGCCTATTAATGTATTCTACATCTCAGAGTTCCTCATTCATGACCCTAGTAAAGTGTTTTGAAGATCATCTCCGTCTGTAAGACAGAATAGCATGCTTTACGTGCGTTTGTCCGGGACAGCAGCATCCCACTAAGCGCTAGAAGGCAAACTGCATTAATCGACTGGATCCCCATCAAAGGGGCTAAAAGGTTACATTAGAGTAAGTAATAATCGGTTAGAGAAACTTTGCCTTTTCGTCTTCTCTGCTGTACACTGATGAATTGTAGCCTGGGTGCAATTGAGGACTGGTTCTACCATCAACTGAATAAGCTCTGAACAGATGCGTTCGACAGGCTGAGTGTATAGACTCAGACATGAATTGTTTGCGTGGTCCAATAATAGGCACCGTCTTCTGCAACTTTGCGCTAATCACGGTATTACTGCTTGGTGTCCTCCATCTGCCATTGCTATTGGTTACCGGTAGTGTGGTTGCATACACGACTGTTACTCTGTATAGAGAACTTGTATGAATTTCGATCATCGCTAGGAAGCAGTTGGCCGATGGCGGGTCAATTACTGTATATCTGTTTTCTTTTTCGTATGGAGCTTCCGATAGGCAAACGTTTGAATGCCGAACTAGCTGATTCAATTAATAACAATGGCAGCTTTTTCGTTAAACCAACCCCCCCCACCACCACCACCACCACCGCTAATGACTTTCTTGTTTTCCCTTTCTTCATCTCTATTCAAGTTGTCAAATGTATCATATTAGCTAGTCCTGGATTTCTACGTGAACAGTTTTTCGAGTTTATGATACAAACAGCAACAAGACAAGAGAAACGTGTATTTTTAGAAAATAAATCAAAATTTATGCTTGTTCATTCTTCATCTGGTCATAAACATGCCTTGAAAGAAGTGCTAACAGATAGTGTTGTTATGAGTAAATTGGCTAATACTAAAGCTACCTCTGAAGTAACAGCATTAAATGATTTTTATCAAATGTTAAAAGTTGATCAATCACGTGCATTTTATGGGTATGTTTTTTTGTTGTTGTGAGTACTATTTTAATGTTTAATTCACATTCATGTCATGTTTTCTATTTCTCCCTCTCTTTCCCTGTCTTTCGTTATTTATGAATGTTATAGACTATTTTAGCCATCATATTAAATTTCATACAACTGGTTACGTTTATTAGTTTAAATAAAAGAAAATGAAACATGCATATTTGCTGACAGGATAATACGAGCTGTTATTTATTTCACGGATTCTCTTCAACTGTGTACATCAATCGATGAGGTTGTAAAGCGAACACCTTGAGCTGCAATCTGCAAACGTTTCGCGTGCGATTCGCTCCCACCTAATGTATGGTGATGCTACAGGACTGGACTGGACTTCATTGACTCCTAGCTTAGAAATAGGGAGTGAATTGGTAGAGCGCGTTGACCGCTTCACTTATTATTTGGGAAGTTGCATCAGCCAACCCCAGCGGGTTGATCGCTGACGAAATCTCAGCACTGATACACAAGGCTCGTTTCACATATGCCAAGTTACGCCATCTCTGCCTTAGTGGACGTGATATACGGCTGGCTGTTGACCAAAGGACGTGTTTAATGCTCCCCAGTCCGCTCCGTCCTCCTTTAAGGTTGTGAGCCAGACATGGCCATTGAGAGTGGAGGACATGAAAAAGCTAGCTGTCTTTGATCATATGTGCCTGGTTTCTATCTCCCGTGTGAAATGGTATAATAGGATGATCAATATTAAGGTTACGTTTCGGTCGAGGGGAGGGGAAATCAATCGACGAGGCTGTGAAGTTACATCGACTGAGATGGTTAGGACATGTGTTGTGCATGCATCCCTAGCCATCGCTTTCCTCGACAACGGGCCATGTTAGCTGACATAGGAAGGATCGGGTTGGAAAAGAGCCAGTGGTGGTCAAACCAAAACCAACATGGCTTCATCAGTCAAAGAAATCCACAACAGTTAGTTTAAGCCAGCCAACCACGTAGGAAGGTGTAAACTTCCTGACTGGTTGGGGCCCTCGGGATGATAAGAACCAATGATGGCTGGTGATAGTTGGTGATATGGCTGGCGCAGATGCATTCACTCCCTGTTATCTGCTATATCCAAAAAGACCCCATTGTTTTTCCATACTGCTCTTCTTTCTCCCATGTACATGTCTGCTTATTATCATCGTTCTTCCGAATATCTTTTTTCTTTCTCTTGTCTTCCTTTGTCTGCTACATGGAATGTGGCAAGTTAAGCTGCTGCACATTTGTGCAAAGTTCTATGCTGGCACCAATCAGTTAGTCAGTCAGCGTACTTTCTGAACAAAATCAAATTATAAGTTACAAAATAGCGTCTGAACGTACTTCTCTCACAGTGACTCAGAGTTATAAGTGGAAAGTATAAGCAAGATAATTCCAAAAATGATGTAAGTAGACGAATTGCTCAGTGTTAAAAGAGTTACTATTTCTAGTATAATTAGACAAGATGGAGGTAAAATTCAGATTTTGCGTGAAATTAAGGATGGATTGGAGACATAACACAGGATAGAACAGCCGAATGATGAAGAGTTCAAAAGGGTTGGAGTAAATATTAAAGTAAAATTATAAGATAGACAAAAAAAGCTTGTAGCAGCAAGTACACATATAAAGGACTTAGAGGAGACCATCTACTAGACTTTCTGAGCATATCCCTAAAAGTCTCCGGTTGATAGACAGTCCCCAGACACCTAAGTGACACGGGACATACAATGGAAACTAGTAAGGCTTTCAAAATAATCAATACACAAAGACAAGCATGGTTACTTTGGTTGGTAGAAGGCATTGCTATCAAAAGACTTCAACCCAACCTCTTTATACAGAAGGATAGTGTGAATAATCTCTCAATACCCTAAATGGTAACCGTAATTGTTTTGTCCCTCTGCTTTGCTGTTTTGTTCTGTTGTATAACATTCCGTTTAATTTTGATTCTGATTTTCACTTGCTGAGTTGGACTCACTATTAAGTTTCCAAATCTACTAAGTTGTTTTGTCTGTCTTATAATTTTACTTTAATATCCACCCACCACACCCTCCTGAACTCTCCATCATAATATGAATAAATTCGGTCTGTTGTTCTATGCTGTGTTTTGTCTCTAATCCATCCTTATTTCCACGCAAAATCTGAATTCTACCCGCATCTTGTCTAATTATATTATAGACAGCAACTCTTTTAAGGGTGAATACGCTGGAATACCGATAAGAAGGCTCTAGAAGATATGGATTTCGCAGATTATTTATGTCTAATGTCACACAAACTCGAAGACTTGAAGGCGATGAAAACCAACAAACTGGCTGAAGAGGTAGGCAGCGAAGACAGGACTCCAGGTGAACATGGAGAAGACGGAGTTGATGAAGATAACAAACCAACCAACGACGACAACAACAACCAGCCCAATCACCATCAACGGGAGAGATTTGACCGAGGTTACCTCCTTCACTTATCTAGAAATCATCGTTTCAACTACAAGCCAGCGGAATGGATGAAGATGTCAAAACCGGTCAGAATCAGAAAGGCAGTGTACACCTTCATTAACGAACCTGAAGCCAGTTTGGAAATCTTCTGCACTAACTCAGTAGCATAAACAAAAAGACACGGGTTTCCAACACCAATGTTAAGTCGGTCCTTTTATACGGGTCAGAAACTTGGCCAACATGTCACGAAAAGGATTTCCAACAACCACCTTTAGACTTTTATCGACAGCTGCTTTCTCTGGCTCCATACTCAAGATAAAATGGTCGACCAGAAAGAATTAGTAACAAGAAACTCTGGCTGGGAATAAACCAACAAGCGAGAGCCAACTGCTCAACAAATATGTTGGAGAAAATGGAGATGAATCGGGCACACGCTGAGGAAACCGTCGAATAACATCTGGCACAATGTAGGCCATGGCTCGAGTGGAATCCCAATGGGAGGTGATGAGTGAGTCGTCAGTGCAAGGGTGACATGGAGGAGATCCTGTGAGGAGAAGATAAGAGATTACGGCGAATCGTGGACCTAGCCAGCTGAAGAGGGTGGCATAAAATAGAAGAGAGTGGAAATGTGTTGTTGAAGCCAGCCCCATGTTCCACTTGAAACCCAAGGGAATAATAAAAATATAATAATTAATCTACTTACATCATTTTTGGAATTATCTTGCTCATACTTTTCATCTATAACTCGAAGTCAATATGAGAAAAGTCTGTTCATACACTATTTTGTAACTGATAATTTAATTTTGTTTAGGATGTACACAGTTGATGAAGAGAATCCAAGAAATAAAACGGACTTATATTATTATCATCCTGCAAATATGTTCGTTCTTTCCTTATTAAAATCATATTAAATTACTAGGTAAGTCATTTCATTTTGACAGCACTACGTTCCCTAAATTGGATGTAGATTTAACCAACAGTGAAGCTTTCGCTATCCATCTAGACAGCAACATCTTCAGTGCAAGCTTTAATAGCGAAGTAAACTTATTCGAATTCTCTATGAATGATGGTATATTTATATCTCCTGATAACCTTTATCTTGATTGGTTGTTGATTTGAATCAGTATTGATTGATTTTATTGACTTTACTTTTCTTTTGTCATGTGACAACTTATTCTTTATTAGTTGGTGAATTTCATCTACAATGATGTGTCTGTCAAGTGGCTGGCTGATTCATTTGAATGTCAGGCTTGTAGGAATTCCCTGGCATTTACTTGGCATTGTTGCTGTTTGAAATTTCTGCATTTTCCTAACCAAATTTGTGTCCATAATTGTCCTATATGTATTGGTATGAAAGAATTCTTTGTGGGTGTCTTTTCATCACAGCTGGTTTACGTGATTGGATTTAGAGTCGAAAGGGATGTTCACTTTGACCGATGTAGTGTGTTTATCACAGTTCATGCAATTAATTTTTGTAGATAGTACGTTGATCGTGTCTTCTTTTGCTGTCGAGTCTTTCATTTTGTTTGTGTGCTATATATATTCCGAATGGTTTTAGTATTCTAGCTGTTATTTTAGAAACATTCTTCATACATGACAGAATTAAGTCTGCAGCAAACAAAGGACTAGATGCATGACACTAGTTAGTGTCCAATCAAAGTACCTAATACAGTCAGTCCTACAGGAGGTCAATAGCGAGTCTGAATATCTCAGTGGTAATGTCCTCTGACTGTAACATTCACTGGGTGACACGGGTTCAAATCTCGTTCCGCATATGCCAGTTTACGCTGTCTCTGGCTTAGTGGACGTGATATCCGGCTGGCTATCGACCGAAGGGCATGTGTACTGCTCGTTCTATCCTCCTATATGGCTATTAGCTAGACATGGCCATTGAAAGTGGGAGACATGCAAAGGCAGGCTAGCTGTCTTTTAATCATAGGTGCCTGCGTTCTATCTCCCATGCTAAATGGTATGATAAAGTCAGCAATATTGAGGTTAGGCTTCGGTCGAGTGCGAGGTTGTGAAGTTACATCGATTGAGAGAAACAGTTAGGACGTGTGTTACGTATGCCTAGCCTAACCATCGCCTTCCTCGACAACGGACAATGTTAGCTGACATAGAATGGGTCAGGTTGGAAAAAAGCCAGTGGTGGTGGTCAAAACAAAACATGGCTTCATCAGTCGATGAAATCTATAACAGTTAGTTTGAGGCGGCCACGTAGGAAGGTGTAGACTTCCTGACTGGTTGGGGTTCTCGGGACAGTAAAAACCAATGGCTGGAGACAATTGTGGTGATATGGCTCAAACTCATCGTTCTCAGTGATAGGGCAGATGCATTCACTCCTCGTGACTTATAATTTCCAATAAAAATATACTGTTCTTCCACCATATTACTTTTCTTTTTGCCTCATATCTCTGTTTACTGTCTCTATTTTGCATTTCTTTTTACTTTCTTCTCTGACTTTGTGTGCTAAGTGAAGTGTGGCGACTTGAACTGCTGCTGCATACCGGTGGAAAGTTCTATTTTGAAACCAGACAGACAGGCAGTCAGTGCTCGTTACTAACTGAGTATTGTTGGTTATTTCAGGGTTAAGCCAACGAAAATCGGCAAGATGTTTACTTCAGGTACATTATAGCGCCAATAATAATTTAGATTGAGAAGAATAAGAAGTTCAGCAAAGATATCTTTTCGGCGAGTAGCATTTGGATTTGCGTGTGTTTATTAAGATCTTACTGCCAGCCGGGTGGTCCGCCTCAAGGTAGGTCAAAATGTACAATTTTCGGAGTCAACCTTTTCTACCCCCTTTCCTTTCCCTTCATTCAGAGTGGAGAGGCAGCATAGCTGGCTTGCTGGTAATCTGAAGGAAACACCATACCTCTGTTTCATCCCTCTATTCTCCAGCAGTGCCGATTTCGTCTGCAGACATCTAACACATAATAATTTACATAAAAATCTATAAATATCTGTTGATTTTCTGAATAAACGATCTGTTGCCTGGCCTGGCCCTTGTCTTCTGTCGTTACAACATTCCTTACTGTCCAATAATAAATCGAATCAACGGAAACAATACAAATTCAACTCGAACAAACACTCACTCAAATGTTATTTCTGTGAAATACTTGTTTTGTTGTTTTTGTTTTTTAACCTTTTCAATAACTTCACTTATATTTGTTATTATCACTATTAATCATTGTCGATTTCTTCTTGTATTGTAGTTATAAACATGTTAAGACAGCTGCTGAAGCACGAGAGATTGCCTGCATTGAGCGCGATATCATTCGATGACCTCCTTCCCCGATGTACGCCCGATCAATCCATCTCCGTTTTCTCTCACATATTTTTTGAGCAGTCGCTTCTTCGTTTGTTTGTTCATTCATTGTCAGAGTTGATAAAGGTCTGCAACTGGCTCTTGAAAATTCTTTTCGTGATGCACCCACAGTGAAAGTTTCTAACCTCTATAGAATAACTGACTGACTTCACTGACATTTGTTTTGAAAATCCGAATTTTGTTGTCTATGCTAGATGCGGCAGAGTGATGCAGACCACTTCCAAACTGGTTTCAGGTTGATCAATGTGTATCTTGCCTTTCCGACTCTGACTGGCTGGCTGGCTGGCTGGCTTTGACATGTTGATCCGTACCGACTGCCTGTGGTTGAAACGATGCTGCAGCCTAGGCTAGATAAGTGAAGGCTGGAAGTGACTGACCTCTTTCACACTCTGGATTTCACGCGTGGATAATTTATGTTTGATGTCTCACAAAATCGAAGACTTACAAGCGAAAACCGACAAATTGGTCGAAGAAGTAGCCAGAGAAGACAGGACTCCAGGTTAACGAACATAGACAAGACGGAGGTTATGAAAATAACCAACCAACCAACAACAACAACAACAACAGCAGCAACATCCACCAGCGCCAATCACCATCAACGGGAGGGATTTGAAAGAGGTTACTTCATTCACTGATCCAGCTAGAGAGCATTGTCTCAACTACAGGAGGAACAGACGAGGATGTCAAATCGAGAATCGGGAAGGCGAGAAACACATTCATCAACCTGAAACCAATCTGGAAATCTTCGTCACTCAGCAACACTCAACAACAAAATTCGGATTTTCAATACAAACGTCAAGTCAGTCAGTTCTTCTATACGTACGGATCAGAAACTTGGCGGCGGGTCACAAAGAATATTTCCAACAGCCTGTTGCAGACCTTTATCAACAACAACTGTCTTCGCTGGCTCTATACTGAAGATCAGATGGCCGGAAAGAACAAGAATCACCAACAAGAAACTATGGGAACAAACAAACGAAACAAGAACCAATCTCTCAACAAATATGCAGGAGAAAGTGCAGATGGATTGGACACTCACTGGCTGAGGAGGCCACTCGCTGGGTGACATCGCGCGTCAGGCCATTTCTCGAGTGGAACCCGAAAGGGAAGTGGCGAGTGGGTCGTGTCTCCAAGGGTGACATGGAGGAGATGGTGTGAAGAGGAGTTGAAACATTATGGACTAACATGGATGCAGGTGGATAGTACAGCAGAAGACAGAAACAAGTGGAGGCGTGCAGTTGAAGCCCTATGTTCCACTAGGAACCCAAGGGAACAATATATTATAGTGTGCAGTTTACCTTCTTCTATTCACTTTATTTCACAATCTAACATCATATCTAATTCTGCGAATTAAATGTGAATTTTATTCCCTTTACTAGTGAGTTTATTTGTGTCAGGAAGCTGAAGAGAGATATGTTCTGTTTTCAACACTGTGTGTGAATGTGTAATCCACAAATCTCCACCCTTATTTTTTGGAGTAGGATAAAATGTATTCAGAGCAATATTTCCCCCCAGCTATCTATCCACAAAGATATCTGCTACGATTGAGATTTCGGTGATGCACCCCATTACTACGCCTTCTGTTAGTCTGTGTATTTTGCCCTGGAATTTAAAGATAGTAGATGTGAGGCATAACTGAATTCCTAAAATGGGTAGCTTTGTTTAACTGAATGTCATTTAGTTTCCTTTTTATAATTTCATATAAATTAGTCAGCTGGCCTAGGGTTTTGACAATTCCAAATAGGACATAATATTACAGCTAAGTATTTTGATAATTCGCAAGTAGGGGTATTTCTGTGAAATCTACTGTTGGTTGTATGGGGTCACGTGACTTATGCATTTTAATAGTACCATATATTCATTCCACTAGCAGACCAAGCGATGAAAATTAATGGAATTATATTAAACGAAGTTAGAAAGTTGTGTGACTCCCTTGATATGATGACGATGAGCAATGATAAATTTGTACTCGGAACGACGTCATCAGTAAACGATGTCACCACACTGTATAACACTACTGTGAGACTTCATCAAAATACACTTTCTCCATAATGGCACCCATAAATTATTATTCCATCATTACACACACCATCGCTACAATGTACCATTCGATAAAATAATAATAATAATAAATTTCTGTCTAGTCTAGTTTGGGAAAATAAATATGTCCACTATAACTGAATTCTTTCTTTCTTTCTTTTCAAAACGTGAAAAATGTTAAACGAAATATGGATTTTATTTCTGTCTATAATTTCCCCCCTCTTTTAGAAGAGAAAAAAAAGCTTATTCTACTTTCTAGTAGTTGTCATTGCAGTAGTAGTAGTAGTCACGAAACTTCCTGTAGGCGAAAATGCTCAAATATGATCAAAATATTTGAAAATCGAAAAGATTCACTTATATGCATACACACGTTTTGTCCCGCTGGCTTATTCAAGATACAGAAATCCGTTCAGTTTTATATAGATTAATGAAAATTGTGATGTTCAAGTCTGGTATATATATTTGAAATACGCGCGCATTTCCTGCCTCTCTCTCTCTCTCCCACTCTCCCAGTGACACACACACACAGAGAAGCACTCAGTGGTATTTTCAAAAAATCGATTTCCTGTAACATTGTGCCTGCTTCTTGGAAGGAAATTAAAATTGTTTTTCTGGGCCTACATCATCCAGTGGATTAACAAGTGTGTCAAGTTCAGACCTACTGCCATCAATTCACACTTTTGAAGAATGACGGAAAGACTGCTTTCACGTAGGCATCCTTCAACCTTCATTGAAGACTTGTAACAACCCTAATCAATTTGCTCATATATACAGAAGGTGTGGTTTAGATGAGACTGTCGTCTAATATCATAATATTGTCTCTAGGTTCGGATAGGAGTGCCAGATATGTTCGGTGTGCCTTGCTAGATTCCACATCTGCATACCTAGACAAGTGTGACTTACGTAGACTGGTTGGTTAGCACGGTTCCACTATCATCACATGTGGCACTGAAGTTCAAACTAAATCGAATTTTAAACACTTTGGAGATGATGTACAGGAAGTAGTCAAACGAAGACTCGACAAAGCCATCAAGAGAACTTATTATGCTGCAAAACTTGTTTTCCTTAACACCACCACCAAGCGAGTTCTTCAACAATCTGGGAAAGACCAGTCACCAATCCTCGACACTTCAAACTGCGTATATCAATTTGAGTGTGTTTGTGGAAGCAAATACATAGGTCGTACGGAAAGGAGATTGTCTACTCGCATGATGGAGCATTTGCCAAAATGGTTGAAAACAGCTGAGTTCAAAGTGCCAAAATCCTCAATAACAAAGCATCTTGTGGATTACGGGCATGATATCGACGCAGTCAAGTCATTCACCATTGTCAGCAGACAAAGAAACAGGAAGATGCTTGCAATTGCAGAGGCTTGTGCAATTCGAGTTTACAAACCAGGTCTCTGTGTACAAAAGGAGATGGTCGTGACTCTGAATCTACCATGGTAATACGTTTTACTTATAATTCTAGCTCTTATTATTATTTTATTATTACTATTATTATTCTCATTATTATTATTCTTGATTCATTTAAAACTATCCTTTATCAATAGCATTATCTTAACCCACTTCAACACTATTATTATTATTGTTATATTATATTATTGTTATTATAACTATTACTATTGACATCCCTCTGGTTGCAATTCTTGTTAAATTCTCTAATGTCTAATTGTTTATCTAAGTGATGTAATTGAAGCGTAATGCAATTTATCTTAATTTTGATCTCCCATACTCTCTCTCCCCTTATCTAATTGCACATGACCTGGAAAAACATTCGCACCTGTCTTTCTGCATGACTAATTCAATGTAGTTTATTTACTTATCAGTCCTATATCTCCCAATGTAATTTCAAAAGTATATATCCGTGTATGTAGAGTATTCAGCTGACGAGTTCTACCGAAATTTGATGAATTCATTAAATCCTGCTTTATTAACCTTTATTGCTTGCTTTAAAATGTGTATAGGGTGTACAGTCAGAAAAAATGTGATGAACTGTGAATGAACAATTGGGTGATATAGTGCTGTTTTATAGTCAACAGAATACAAGTGTCATTGGGGTGAGAGAAATGCGATAGCCACAAAATACATACTAACACACATTAACAAAGGGGACACTGAATGTGAGGGCTGACCGATAATGTCTAATGATAAAATAAAGAGGCTAAATTGTTAATTGTAATAAGATGTTACAGAGTTGGTAGGCTTAGTGTAAAATCACGAATCAACTGAGAGAGAATACGTGTAATAGGAATGATTCATCACATGTCCCCGATATCTGGAAAATTCTACTACACATACGACAAATAGGAGAAAACAAAGAAAACTATAAAACTCAAGTGTCAAAGTCATGTGATTACAATTGATATGATTATGAACAATAAATTTTGTTCGAAACGTCATCCAGTAAATATGAATACTGTTTCACTGTGTGATATATCAAATAAACAAACTAATATAAAATCACAAAGGTTGACAAAATTAAGGGTAACAATGAGGTGAAATAAACTGCTCCTGTGGAGCTATAGGTCGTACCCAAAGGAATTTATATTTACGCACTCGTGAACATATTCCCGTCTGGCTTGGAAAAAGAGAGACCAAATCATTAAATAGTGCAATTCCGGCTCATCTAGTGGATAGCGAGCACAGCATCAAAGTAGAAGAGTTATTTACAGTTGTGTATCGAGTACCAAACAATCTCCCCAAAGGCACACGACTACGCATCCTAGCCATAGCTGAGGCTTTAGAGATTAATAGAGAAAGACCAGACTTATGTGTACAGAAAAAACTTATTCACTCCCTCTGTCTACCCTGGTCCACTATAAAGTCACCAGGATCATAATTTTCCGTATTATTATTATCATCCTGTGATATCATGTCTTTATTATCCATTTCTCCACCCAGTTTATTTCACCTCA